TCTGCTAGTTGAGGAGAAAAATACTTGAAAATCGCTTACTTTACTGTGGTTCTGGAGATCAATCGTGTAGATGACTCAGTAGAGATGTCAGAGAGTTAGGGTTCAAGTGTAAAATAATAGAAACTTAATTATCTGCTCATAGAAAGAACTGACTAGCAGAGCTCTTTGACCAAGACGCTGAGGTGTCTGATTAGGATGCCGGCATGGTGTTTGATCTTAAATGACCTAGGGAGTTGAAGAGCACCACCATGAGGCGGAGTATAACAAGTAAATACACAAACAATGAACATTACACTCCCCGTCTAAAAATCAATCTAGGGAGAATTTTTACAGAATAAACAAGAAGATCATTGTTTGTATTTGGCACATCTCTCAGTCAGTTACTGGATGTTATTTCGCGTCAGATGCTCTCTCAAGGAGCACAAGTTCCGAGATTGGTCGCAGGTAGGTTCGGCGTGTTCTTTCGATACAGACCACGATGTCAACTTTTGCGGACTCTGGAGTCGTCGCTGGGGTAGGTCCTTGTGACACGCACTAGTGGCCATCTGTTACGTGGAAGTTCCTTCTGCCGGAGGAGCACATCGTCCCCTTCTGAGAGGTTAGGCGTGGTCTGAGTCCATTTCTGGCGAGGCTGGAGGCTCTGTAGGTACTCTTTTCGCCATCGTGTCCAGAACTGGTCAGCGAGGTATTGACTGTGTCGCCAATGCTGTCGGCTGTACAGGTCCTCTTTAACAAAGTTGGAAGAAGGTGCTTGGATAAGGTGAGTCTTCATGGTTAGAAGCATGGCTGGAGTCAGACAGAGCGTGTCGTTTGCGTATGAAGAGATAGCCGTGATTGGTCTAGAGTTCACGATGGAGCATGAAGGTGATGAGGACATCGTGGGTAAGTTGATGTTTCTCAAGTTGAATGAACATCTAATCTAAGACTCGACAGATGATCCCAATCTGTCGTTCCCATACACCTCCGAAGTGGGAAGCTTTGGGGGTTGAAGACCCATTCACACTTTCTCGATGTCAGATACTTGGCGATCTGTTCATGATTAAGCGTTCCTTCTGCGCCGATGAAATGGTTCCTCTGTCACATCTCAGTCGAGCAATGGGGCCCCTGGAGAGAGACAAACCTTCCAAGTGCGGAAAGCAGGGCTGAGGTGTCCATGGCTTCAATAACTTCTATGTGTACGGCTCTGGTGCTGAGGCAGGTGAACAGCCTCAGTCGAGCCGCCCTGAGTCTTTCTTGTGATGACAGTCCATGGGCCAAACACGTCCATTCCAACATTGGTGAATGGTGGCGTCACTTGCAGTCTGTCTTCGGGTAAGTCTGCAATCACCTAGGTAAGTGGTTTGCCTCGTAGTTTGCGACATACAGTGCAGTGATTGATCACACTTCGGACTAGGTCGTAAGCTCTGATTATCCATTTTCCTCCAGCTCATACTGATGCAAGAGTTAATGTCGCCCCTGGTGTTCTACCTCATGGTGGAAATGTTGTATCACCAGGTTGGAGATGTGGCTGCTCTTGGGTAAGAGTACAGGATGGCGTCCCACGAGGTCGAGATCTGCTCTTCGAAGCCTTCCCCCAACTCGAATGATTCTGTCTTCATCGATGAATGGGCTTAGCTTTCGGAGGAAGTTATCCTTCTTCAGGGTATTCGTTCCACCTGCATTGAGAGCGGCCATTTTGTCATCGGAGTACTCGTTCTGAACAGCGCGGAAGATCACGTTCTCAGCCTGCTGTAGCTCTCCCGGTGGTTACTTGGTGCGGTTGGTCTCTGTTGGTTTTGCCGTTTCGTGAGTTGAACCCTTTCACGTGGTTAATCAACGTCGAGAATGCACGCAGAAGGGTTCTCCATGAGGAGAATCGAAAGAAGCGACCGCAACCCAGCTGTTGTCCATTCTTCATGCTAACCGTGCCATGTGGCTTATCTTCCACACTCGTGTGAATAATGCGAGATTCTTTGCGCACCTCAGAATCTTCTTGGTCTAGGAGGAATTTGTCTCTCGCGTGGATCTCTACAGGTTGTGATCCTGGGCAGTAAGCGAGAACGGCTGTTATGGTGGAAGACAATTTATTAAGAACAAATAGGGTTTCGAGACTATGGACGAAAGGTAGAAAAGGCTGCACAAAGTTTCCCGATGGAAGAACTTCCCCAAGTAACCGATCAAGTTAGAGAGGTTTTGGAAGAGTTAACAAACGAAGAAGCTCAAACCGAAGGGTTAAATATTAGAAAACTCGAGGCTTTTGACGAAAATTGTAAAACTCTCAGAACCAACTTAGAATTAAACTTAACCAAAATGAGTGAACTCAGTGACATGCTGACTGATACCCAAGAGCTCGATGTAGTCACAACCGACCAAGATACCAAGAGCTAACCACAAAACTAAAAAAGCTCACTTGTCTGAGATCAGCTATAGAATTGCAGCAGTGCAAGAAAACGAGCGAGGTCTCAGGTCCAACCAGTTGAACCAAATCCAAGACACGATAACTAGGATGCTCGACAAAGACCTGACTCTTGGAGAAAAATCAATGCATTGTTTCGAGAACAAGGTGTTACCACCATTAGCTTGTTAACGGCTTTTAAAAACACGATGTTAGGTACCATCGCAAGTTCTATAGCTGCTCATGGAGGAAGGACACAAACTGCTGCAGTCATGAGCGCTGGGGCATCCACACCAGCTCTCACTCCCAAACCCACAAGCCAGCCGCTAAAGACTGGATCAAAAGACATCTGCAGAACTTCGCTAACGCGTTAAAAACTCAGGTTTGTTGGCGTTGGGTGCTCTACCCGGAGTGATCGGAAGCGGTAGGAGCGTGTGACCAAACAACCTCATAAATCACGTGGTCTGACTTTTCTACCAACTGCCACGCATCACCTGATCGAATTCCCGTGACTTCTCCTAACTTCCCCCACCTACCTTTTGAGAAGGGTGTCAAGCATGGGATCGCCCTAGCAGTGACTGAAAGGGGGGGGCTATATCCATTTTGTGCACAAAACATTACTACATTAAGTTAATACACGCAATTATGGAACGCCAAAGAGGCAGAAACTTGGAGGCAACACATCGATCGTTCTTCAACATCGATCGATCGTTCCCCTACCGTCGATCGTTCCCTACATCGATCGATCGTTCCCCTACATCAATCGATTGATCTCTTTTGATCGATGAAGAAAGAGCGATGAAAAAAGAACGATGAAAAAAGAACGATGAAGAAAGACCGATGAAGAAATACCGATGAAGCTACATCGATTCCAACGTTACGTAACCTCTTCCGGCACCAAATAACACGTGTTCCATGTAACCATAGCCCACCAGCACACAAGGCCACCTGTGTTCATTACCCACAAGTCTGGTCCCGAGCCAATTGAGTTGTCAGATGGGTGTTTATATCTAGTTTCCTTGTCATGAAACCACTGAGAATATTTTTTATTTTCCCCTGGATGGAATGCCAGTTCATTATGGGTCGCTCCCTAGCCACTATGGGCACCTATTCTTACTCCTAATGACTCGAATTTTATTTTCCACTTTTTTTTGCTCGTTTTCATTTTTTCCCCATAAAATATGACAAAAACTAATTCAATTTGATGAATGGATGAAACAATCCTCCCCCAACAAAAATCAACGCCTGCGGCTCGGGTCAAGTATTTTGCAAGCACAATAGACGGAAATGAGAGAAAACAAAATAATCCATTGGCTGGGAAATTAACGAGTCACGAATTATGAGCTTGCGGTTTCCACTTATTTTGAGAGAGCAGTTTCTACATATTCGTATTTTTGTTTTGCTCTTTTATCATTTTTTAAATAAAATATGACAGAAATTAATCCCAATTAATGAATCGACGAGATGAAAACAATGAAAATCAACACCAAAGAGCTAATTGCATGTTCTTTGCAAGAAAAGTGAACGGAAATGAAAGAAATTAGTAAGGGCGCCCTCTATAAACACCATGAAGTAAAGGGTGACAGCGACGCGTCGTGTATCGTGTCGTGCGTCGCGTCGTGCTTCAGGCGATGCAATGCACGGAACGACGCACGACGTTGCCCGTTGTGCGTCGTCCGTCATGTGTCGCCCGTCGTCCGTTTTTTTCTTTGTCTCGATTGCGCCGTGGTATTTTTAACTTTGACCCTTGATCGTTTCACATGTCCATGTACTTGTTCGATCGATCCATCGTGCCTGACTCTCCTTGAAAGACAAAATATTATCCTTTCATTTTTAAAGACTGACATCGGTAAAGTAACGTTTATATGAAATATACCTTTTTGTTACATCGATAACTTAGTTACTCTAGACGTAACTTTACTCGTTAACGGCCTGACGTTAAGTCTATAGCCTATGTAATATTTCTGTCTGTCCCTGCACGATATCCCACAGAACTGAATGTAAATAATAAATTGTTTACAATGCTTGATTCCTCAATAGTTTTCATAATAGACGAACTGATTCAACATTATTTTGAGGGCGGGTATACCTATGATGAAACCTGCTGTATACTCCAAATTAGACATGACTTGAGTTGCAGGTAGGCTCACAGAAGTCTTTTAAATGTTAGCCCCATAGATAATGCTGATGGGCTGGACAACCTGTGCTCATAGTATCCACCATGGCATATACAGCCACCAAAAACAACACATCACATTTTCTGAAACTTAACCCAAGTGGTAATTGCCTTGGTCCTTGGATTTACTTCAATCGGGGGCGTTTTCCTGCCCCACGAACGTACGACAATGGCGCCAAGTAGGCCCTACACAAAAATATTTCGAGGGAATGATATCAATATTTCGAGAGAACAAAAGCAATATATCGAGGGAACGAAATAATACTTCGAAGGAACGAAATAATATTTCGAGGGAACGAAATGATTTCTAGGGAACAAAATAACAATTCGAGGGGAAAAAAAATCATTGTGCCTTTCCCCTGACTGAGGGGCTCCGTAATATAGTAGCTGAATAGAAAGAGATCGTGACGCTGCCGCGCCACCACATGCGCAGTGCATACATATGTACATGTACAGTGTGTAATGCTAAAACGATTACCGTATCTTTCAACTGACGTGACCGGGTGAGCTGGGCAGGCAGTCGTGATCACGGCTGTGGGTAAGGAAAATTCTCATAAATTTCATCATTTTGAATGTTATAATGTAAATGAACCTCCCTGTCCCATACAAAATTGTATCCCGGGATACCTCATGATTTTATAGGGGCAAAATCGGTGAAACGGCATAGAAATTTCATACAAACCGAAGTAGGCCTAGCACCACTACTAGCCGACTAGGCCATGTACACGTAGGCCTACTTCGACATGTTCGAGTTCGAGAACTTGTCAAAGTCACTACGCCTAGCCCAGGTTTGACGTTGTCTTCATTTCATTACCACTGACGTCCAGGTTCCAAGATTTGTGTACAAAGCGACCACAAATTTGGTTCTAATTTGTTCTTGGTTGACCTTGTTGAAGAAACTAACGTTTCATGTTACAAGTTCTTCGTGGCCATCTGTCTGGGGGGTTTAGCAATTTCAGAACAAACGAGAGGTCATCTGTCTGTTTGCCAACAGGACAGAAGTCTTTTTCGCATCCCTTTCTTAAGTTGAACAACCAATCTACTGCACAAACCTGTTGGCGTTAATCTGTTATTATCAGATTATAACCATTTGGATCCAAGGTTTCAAACCAATCAGGCACGTACTTTAGGATATAAGGTGCTTTGAATGAAATGTAATTTGACTCTTCATCTGATGACGTCATAATAACATCCGCTACATTTTCATTTAGAACACTTCATTGCCTTGTTATCTGCAACGTTTGAAATCAGTGGGATATGGACCTCAGGAGTTATACAGTTACGGTCAGAGTAAAGCTTTACACGATTCACGATATTGCGTGCGTACGTGTATAGGGAGTGGAAGACACACTCTTACAGTGCACGCAGTTGCGGTTTGACTGGATAGACCTCTAAGCCCCGAGCCAATTAAAGTCAACCACAATCCCCATGTGTGTTGCCGAACACGATACACGAATAAGGAGTTGGCAAACTGGTGTCAAATTCACGTATTTATCAGCTCATATTCAGCAGGATACATGAAGAAACACACAATGCCTCACTGACAATATTTCGGTGTCCTGTGTGAGAACAAAACTGTCCGTGATCAAAACAGATTCAACAACTCCCAACGGAAAGGATCATCAGTATCGGCCCAGCGGCCGGATGAACCCCCACACATTTAACAAAGCTACATGTATTTGCGTTCGAAGTAGCCACTTCATGAAAACAAAAGCTGACAGAATGTTTCCGTAAAATATAAATTTGTACAAAAAAAAGAATATACCCAATCCCCAAATACGATTTTGCAAACACTTTGAAATAATTATTTTTCCTAGCTACACGATCATGCAAACGGATCTTTTGCGGAAAGCAAACCCCGTAATTTCTTTGAATTTATGGAAACCGTGTCATGCTTGGCAGATTTAATGCAACACTTGGAGTTTGTTGTCGTCACTGAAATCGTGAAACAATTTTTTTCATTGGACGGGTGACCAACCACCCGATCGACCCTGTGGCTTCAACTGCCAAAAAATACTTTTTTATTCAGCCGACCATGTCTTCAATTTCCTTAACCCTAACCTTCCCCAACCACACAGAATTAAACAGTAGTAAAGTGCTTAATTCTGTGGGGATAGGTCTGGTGGGCCCTAACAGCTGGCTTTTGCATTGGGTTCGGCATACCTCAGAAAAACAAAGTCCAACAGCCTCTTTGCACAAAGTCCCATATGGGTGTTTAACATTGTGTGAATGGGGAAGGTTAGGGCCAGCAACCCTTGGGGGGTTAAGGTTAAAAAAATATGATGACCTTCAAAATTGTATGAACAAGGACGTACACTGTAATTTTTCACCAAAGTTGTTTCTTACCCATCTGACCTAACCTGACGATAAACAACCAAGTGGTCGGCAAACTGGTGTCAAATTCACTTATTTACCAGCCCATATTCAGTGCGATCCACGAAAACACACACAGCCTAAAAGGAAGTGTTCATGTGTCCTGTGTGAGACTGAGAACAAACATCTGTAAAACTGTCAGTGATCAAAGCAAATGAATTAATGACTCCCAATGAACAGGATCGTGAGTAGCAACCCAGCGGCCAGATAAACCCCCTTACATTTGACAAAGCTACATGTATTTGCGTTGGAAGTATCCACTTCACAGAAAGCTGGCAGAATACTTCTGTAAAATATAAACTTGTATGAGAAAAAATATTAAATCCTCATCTTCCCGAGTCTTCTGGATAACTGTTTTCGCAAATGATCGGCTTTGCCTGGTTTCTTGTCTGCCTCACAGTCCGGCAAATTTCATGGAAATTGTAAACCTGCTGTCTCACTTCAATGTCTTTTTTTTACATTTACATCCTCAATCCTCCAAAATCCTCTGATTTTCAACCTGAAAAAATTGCATTCAGCCTCAATCCTCCAAAATCCTCCAAAATTTCTTGAAAATGTTTTTTGGAGGTCTGCCTGCTGCCTAAATCCTTCAAAATCCTCCAGCAATTCCTGTCATTATGTTGAGGCAGTGCGAATGGCATTCTTGAGGTGTGCGGTTGATTCAAACGAAATATCGGGCTGAATTTGTGCTTGACTAAGCAAAAACAATACAAGGTCTAATCCACGACCTTCACTCATGGCATCCTTCATTATCAGCCATGCACTTTTGCCATTCACCCTCAATCCTCCAAAATCGTCCAAAACCGCCTGAAGGATTTTGGAGGATTGAGGAGGGTTACGGTTAATGTTCGCAATACATATTGCCTACCCAGCTACACGTGCATAATCAATTTTAAGTGACATCAGGGCTATGCGGGTACGTAATTGGTCAATCGGTGGTACGGTGGTAGTCTGTCCATGCCTGTTCCACGTGGCTTGGTCTTACACTGTACCACTGATTTTAGATGAAGGTCCGTGTTCATAGTTAAGCCATCGTACATAGAAGTTGTGAACTTTTCAAAAATGTACACGCAATTGAGTTTTGTTTTAGAGTCAATAAAATTTCATTACCCGACCAAAATTAAATGCTTTGCCAGGAAATCTGCTTTTGTCAGGTGGTTCTGACTGGTATGATTTCTCACTTTCCCGCTTGATTTTTTTTTGTTTGGTCTTGCTGATCCAAATAATTATAAATCAATCCACAAAATGGCAGCAGCACTTTCAGTATCTCAAATATCTCAAATTAAAAGCTTAATTTGAAAAAAAAAATAAACTCCTTCACACAAGGTGGGCGATTAAGTTGAGGATTGTCCAGCCACAGTCGAACTGAATCAGTTTTGCAATCCGCAACTACGAATATCTTTTTCATTTTTTTCATGGTTTTCTGTGTTTTGTATGTTGCAACCAGAGACGGTACTGCATAATTCCCAATATTAATGCCGACAAACTCTTTGTGTTTATTCCATCATAGTGCAATAAACTTCTTTGTACTTTGGAAACTTAGGACAGCAGAATGGGGGAAATCCAGTGGATAAAATCTGGGCGGTGAAAATTGTAGTGGAATGGCACAGGTGTACAATTTTCGTCAGTGGGCCCTGGAAAAAAAAACTCCAGGTGCCACAAGCGTATTTTTTTTTACCTTGACCAACATTTTCTTGAAAAGAATGTTAATGCTTGATTTTTCTATCTGCATGTTAGTTGGTTTGATCTGGCTGAAGAAACGGATGCCTCGGTGTATTAATCATGTACGGAGATGTACTGTATGTTGACCCGCCAGGAAAGTGGCATTGGTATTCCTGAGGATCCTGTACAATCCAGATCATTTCGGGGTGGCAGATATCTTTTTCAAAAAAAGATGACCCTTAATCTTGTTTCATGAGATTTCGTGAATCGGTTGTGCCGAATCAAATAAAGCCAGCACTCTTAACCCTAACCCTCCTGAATCCTTCACCTGTTGGAGGATTGAGGAGGGTTAGGGTTAATGAACAGACTGCTTGGTAGTGACATTAATATCTGCACCATGGGTGCACTGATCGATATCGCTCGTTATTGCACGTTGGACAACTCAGTGTTGTGCATCGTGATCGGATTTTTAAACATCGGTCTCGTGAATTTAATAGGGGTTTAACACGTACGCCACGATTTTAAAAACATGCCAACATGCATTTATTTACGGTCAACGGAATGCAGTGCCCGTGTACAAGCGTGCAGCATTTCCTTTCTTCACGTTCACAGGTCAGTGACACCACTTAAGGCATTGCGGGTGCGGTTTACCCAATACACGTTTCCGATGTCGGGCCAACCCTTTTTAGTGCGTGTATTGAAGACACCCTGCACGATATATCAGGAACGTGTGTTGCAGTAACGTGTGTGTGATCAATGTATCGTGTCATCGCATGAACCTTAAATCTGGCCTTAACTGTAGGACTCCTGATGACTTCATCATCAGATAAGGTCAATATTCCTCTAAAACACTCCCTTTTCAAGATATCTGCAAGATTTGAACCCGATCGGACGTCTACTTCAGGAGATATATAGCCTTAAAGAGTTCAACTTTAATATCACGTGATTTGTCTCATGACGTCATCATCACATAAGGTCAATTTTGCTCTAAAGCACTCTCTATTCAAGATATCTGCAAGATTTGAACCCAATCGGACATGTACTTCAGGAGATACAGGGCCTTAAAGAGTGTATTTTCCGTTCACATCGGTCTGGAACCCTGCTTTATTTGCATAATCATAAATATGCATTGTCACTCTAAAAAGCCAAAATTCTTTGATAATATCTAACATATCAGTAATTGATTGCGCATTTCACATTTTCTGTGTACAAAATTTAAGAAAAAGGATTGCAGGACCACTATAGATGACATCTGTTGCACTATCTTGAACATTTTGGCGCAAAAATGAATTTCACTTTTGATAACTGTGACTAGAAAGTTGTACTGTATGATATACCTTCGAAAGTACTCTGCAAATGACCCCATGAGGAATCTGCAAGCTGAGAGTCTGATGTTGTCATTGATTTCATCACCCGTCCTGTTTGGGATTCAGGACTTAATACATCCCCGGCCCCATGTAGATCATGTGTCACGCCCTTTTTTAATCAACCAAAAAGAAGAAT